TCTGTGGCGTCCCGAGCCGGCCAGGCGTGCAGCGAGGCCCGCTCTGGCCCCGCCGAGCAGCGCCCTCTCTGCAGGCAGCCACGACCCCGGGGTTTCCAGGCCTGCTGCCGCCCCGCCCCCTCCAACTCTGGTCCCGACCTCCGGAGCCCGAGCCCCCCGGCCCCGGCAACACGGCCCGCCATTCAGCCCGCGCGCACTCCTGGCCCTCACCAGGTCGATGTGGGAGAAGCCAGTGAGCACGAGGTTCTTGAGAAGCTCGCAGCCGATGCCGCCCGCTCCCACCACCAGCACCCGGCCCCCGGCCACGGCCTCGGCCAGCTCCCGGGGCAGTCCCCGCGACAGTGCCATGGCGGGACGACCACGAGCCGCGGCGGAGGCGGAGGCGCGAGAAATGAGCCGCGGCCGGAAGCAGGTGGGGGAAGGGCGACCCAGCTTCCGTTCATGCGCAGTGCGGCCGTCATTTGGCGCCGAGCGGGCGACGCCCGGGACCTGTGGAGCGCACCGCGTAGGTCAAGGCTCGGCTTTGCGCCAGGAGGTATCTCTCTCTCGCACCTGCAGTGATGCTCCAGCCGGGTCGTGTTTTCACAGACGCGCGCGGAACCGCTATCCGGCTTAAGAAACCTACGGGCCACCTTTTGGCCTGGGGTTTGAATTCCCAGCCAAGGCTTACTTACAGGTTAAAAAATAGATGCCCCTGTATGTAAGAAGCTCTTACAAATTAACAAGAAAGCAAGTGTCTTTTAAACAGCAAATACAGGTCAAGAATGTGAACAGGCACTCACAAAGAAGATGAACAGTATGATCAATAAACGTATTAAAATTTAATCGAAGAAATGCAAAGCGGTGTTTAGATCATTTTCACCTATTAATCCGGAAAAAGAAAAAGTGTAACTCTCTATTGTCAAGGAATAGGAAAACAAGCACTCCCGTTACTATAGTTATGGATTGTAAAGCAAAGCTTTTCTAGAGGGTGTTAAAATAAACTGAGGTGTATTAAAAATTTTGTTGGGGCACCCACTTGGCTCACTTGGTTAAGGCTACGACTCCTGGCTTAGGTCATGATCTCCTGGTGGTGGGATACAGCCCCGTAGGCAAGTCTGCGCTGAGCCTGGAGCCTGCTTGGGACACCGTCTCTCCGTCTCCGTCTCTCTCTCTCAAACTCTCTCAAAATAAATAAATAATCATTTTTTTCTTTTTTCTTAAAGTTTATTATTTTTTTAATGTGTATTCAATTTTGAGACAGAGAGAGAGAGAGAGAAAGACAAGAGCACTAGTGAAGGGAGGTGAGGGCACGGAGAGAGGGAGACATAGAATCCCAAGCAGGCTCCAGGCTCTGAGCTGTCAGCACAGAGCCCAACACAGGGCTGGAATCCACAGACCTTGAGATTGTGACCTGAGCCGAAGTCAAATGCTTAAATGAGCCACCCAGGCCCTCCCTGCCCCCTAAAGTTTATTTATTTTGAGAGAGAGTGTGTGGGGGGCAGGGGGAGGGCAGAGAGAGTGAATCCCAAGCTGACTGTGTGGAGCCTGTTGGGGGCCCAGCTCGAACTCACAAACCATGAGATCATGACCTGAGCTGAAATCAAGAGTCCCGATGTTTAACCGAATGAGCCACCCAGACGCCCCAGTAAATAAACATTAAAAAATTTTTTTGTTGACTTGAGCAAACTTTGATTTGAATTGGGCAGCATTCTACCTGGCAGATAGAAAGGAACTCTGAGGAACTGTACAAAATGAAAGATTTTGATGGCTATAAGGGAGAAGGAGCAAGGAAGTTCTACAAAAGTGGGTTGGTTATTGGAAGGTTACCTTTCCTTTAGGTGATCTATCAGACATATTACCTAACTAATGCTGATCAGGCAATTCCTGATTGACTGGTTTAAGATTTCATTTCTAGGAGAGCCAGAACTATAATTAAGTCTCTGCTTGGTGACATGAGGTTTAGCGTAAGCAACTCCATTTTGGGCTTATTGCCCTTTTTTTTTTTTTTTTTAAGCAAGGGTAATTTGGAAATATGATTAAAAAATCCTCACAATGCTAAATAAAAAAGATACAAAGTCATGTACGAATAAATTTTGTAAACACAAAAATATATTTAAAAAACAGGAAGAAAACCACAGTTAATATTTTTATGTATCTGTGTTTCATGGAATTGTGTGTAATTTTAATTTCTTCTTTACACCTTTCTGTATTTCCCAAATGCTCATGTTCCTTAAAGAAAATGTTAATTCTAAAATCAGAAAAAAATTATTATCCCAACCACTAAAAAGAAAGGATAATTATGTAATGTGATAGAGGTGCTGGTAAAAAAGACACAACAGGCTCAAAATGTAGTCACTTGTGCTAAGGAGCAAGCTAGCAAACCAAGAGTTAATACCTACCCTAATTGCAGTTTCAGCCTTCCCCAGGAGTGGAATTTTAAACCAATCAGTCTGCAATTTCCTGGTGAACACTAGTGATACAATCTGACCCTGGTAAGGGAAGGTAACTTTGCCTGAAATACTCTATTTTGTAAGTTCCTGTCCCACAGTCCTTCTGCCTATAAAAACCTTCCATCTTGAACAATTCAGAACTCCTTTCCACTTGCTAGATAGATGGGATGCTGTCAGACTCATGAATCTTTGAATAAAGCCAGTTAGATCTTCAAATTCACTCGACTGAATTTTGTTTTTCAACATGCTAAATATTGCTACAAGAGCAATCATATTACAATATATAAATGTATGAAGTTAACACATTGCACACTTTATAAAAATAAATGCTGTAAATGTTTATTTTTGAGAGAGCATGAGTGGGGAGGGGTAAAGGAGGGGGGATGGAGGATCTGAAGCGGGCTCTGTGCTGACAGCAGACAGCCTCATGTGGGGCTCAAACCTATGAACTGGGAGATCATGACCCAAGCCGAAGTCGGAGGCCTAACCAATAGAACAACCCAGGCACCCCACGCATCGCACGCTTTAAATTTACGCAATGTTATATGTCAAATATATTCAGTAAAAAATAATCATTAGAAGAGAAAGGATAAAGATAGAAAACATAGGAAAATGCTTTTGACTTCTGTGGTCTTTCTCATAAACTGTTGGTTCACCAACCACACACCAAGCTGGTCTATGAGGAATACTCAGGCTGCTGCCCTGATGCAAGAGTGCAGGAAGTGCCAGAGTGCTCAACCAGAGTGGGGGGCACAACGGACTGCTGATGTTCCTTCCCAACACAGGGCTGGCTTATAGAAAGACCCCATCCTCGCAGTTAAACCTACAGGAGGCCCTCCCCAGGATGCTGATCTTACATCTCCCTCTAGACATTCAGTGAATGGGTCACCTTCCTTGGCTTCTCTCCTGCCTCCCTTGTCTTCCCTTGGCCGGCCTGAGCTGAGTACCTTAATTCTGAGGGCCTTTGCTTTTCTTTGTGGATTTGTGTGACTGTAAGTATAAAGTGTAAAATGCTTGCTCACCTTAAAAAATTCAAATTAGGACACAAGTGCAGGAAATGAAAGTCCCACCCATACCCACTCCTACTCCCCAGGACCTTTGATGGCCTTTGTCCTTCTTTCTATTTATTTTCTTAATGTTTATTTATTTTTGATAGAGAGACCATGTGCCAATGGGGGAGAGGCTGAGAGAGAGGGAGACAAAGAATCCGAAGCAGTCTCCAGGCTCCAAGCTGTCAGCACAGAGCCCGATGCGGGGCTCAAACTCACGAACTGCGAGATCATGACCTGAGCTGAAGTAGGATGCTTAACCAACTGAGCTACCCAGGTGCCCCCTTCCTTTTTTTTTTTTAAAGTCATCTCTCGATCTTGAACTCATGACCCCGAGATCAAGACTCGCATGCTCCCCCAACTGAGCCAGACACACACTCCAGGCCTTTGTCTTAATTGATCTATGTCTCCTTCACTTATTTGTTCTTATTTAACTCATCTCTTCACCCAATGTGGGGCTCAAATTCATGACCTCAAGAGTCATGTGCTCTCTCTGAGCCAGCCAGGTGCCCCTGCAGTTTTACATTTAAATGGGTTCACAATGGGGTGCCTGGGTGAGGCACCTGGGTGCTTAAGCTTCTGACTTCACTTCAGGTCATGATCTCATGAGTTTGAGCCCTGTATCAGGCTCTGTGCTGACAGCTCAGAGCCTGGAGCCTGCTTCGGATTCTGTGTCTCCCTCTCTCTCTGCCCCTCCCCCGCTTGTGCTCGGTCTCTCTCCCTCAAAATTAAACGTTAAAGAAATAAATAAATGGGTTCACACTGGACTTATTTTCTCATGTCTTGTTTCTCTAACAGTATATAACAACCCTACCCTTTTCCGCTCTGCTTTGCCTGATAACTTCCCATAACTACTTCCATGCACCCCACGTCTTTCGTCTTCAGCTGAAGATTATATTTGAGGTAATGGCTTGGGCCATTTCGGGGAGTTTATTCGGTTTTGCTGAGTATCTTCCGTCTATATAGGAGGTACATATACTTCTGTTTTTCTCCTGTCAATCTGATTTTTCTTACAGGGGGCCTCAGCCAACTACCTAGAAGGGCAAAGAGAAAATTATTTTTCCTCCCCTATGTACCTCACTGACCAGCAAGTTGTTTGTATACAGTCAGCCACTTTCCCTCAGGGGCCCCGGGAGGCAGGATCAGGTGGTGTCCTCAGCGGTCACACACTGCCCAGGAGGACCTTACCTCAAGAGAATCTGGACCTAATATATTGTTTACCAGAGTAGCAAATCAAATTGTTTATACCAGTTTCCTCATCTACGTAGGCAAATAGCAAGTCTGCACATAGCTGGGGGGGGGAGTGTTTTTTAAAAAAATTTTTTTTCTCAACGTTTATTTATTTTTGGGACAGAGAGAGACAGAGCATGAACGGGAGGGGAGGAGAGAGAGGGAGACACAGAATGAAACAGGCTCCGGGGGTTTCTGAGCCATCAGCCCAGAGCTGCCGCTCGAACTCACCGGACCGCTTGAATCGCGATACCTGGCTGAAGTGACGCTCAACCGACTGCGCCACCCAGGCGCCCCAAAGGGGGGGGAGTGTTTTTATACTGCTGCCAAAGGGTAGCAGAATGGAAGGGTTGATAACATAAAAACTGAAAGGAGAAAGGGGAAACTGGAAAAGTGGACACCAGGAAAGAGGGACCGTGTCCAGAATCGAGAGAAAGGGCCCCCGTGCTGTGATGCTGCAGGGGCAGAAGGTAGGCATGGGTGAGGCTGGGGATCGTCGGGTGGGAGAAAGAGGGGCAGGTCTCAATAGCTAGTGTCACAGGGTGGGAATCTCAAGCTAGGGAGATTCAGCTCTGCAGGTGCTCAGTCGGTTTAGCGCCACTCTCGCTCTGTCACGACTAGGTCCGTGAGTTAGCCC